AAGACTCCTGTGATATGAGCTATAAATCCAAATATGTGTTTTAATTTGTCTAATTTCTATGCTCTCCTGACTCAGAATTAGCCAGATATGGTATTAATGTGTTTCCTTGGCATTCTTATTTTGCCTCAGCAAAATGTGGTTTTCTCCACCTGGCACAAAATTGTGAATTTAGAAGCATGGTCTAGTTCACTGTGTGATATTTTCTCTGAACAAAAGAATCAATACCTGTCACTCCTTAGTTTCTGAACAGTCAAGAATATTAGGCTTAAAGTGCTGTGGTCTCAATGACACTTAGTTAAGGCACTTGCATGTTAAGAGCCTTAGTTAGGGCTCTTTGCATGTCGCACATATTGTTCCTTCCTCCTCTGCGTTGCTAATGTACTTTGCATGAGTTTGTCTGCTTTCCGTGTATGTTTATCACTTACATGATTTTATGCTTAAAATTAACATTTTGACTTATATATGACTGCCATTCTCTCAATTAGTAATTGACTTTATTCTGTGCATTATGTTGTTTGTACTGAAGAGTTTGCCTTGATCTGAATCTTCAACTATTGCAATATAAACAAATTATTGATCAAAGGAAAAATAATCAAGGGTGATTTTTCATACTGATCTTACAAAAGAAATTTCTAATTATGGAGGATTATTATGGCTAATGGCTATATCATGCTTTTGATTATATTAGTATTTCCTTACTTATCTATTATATACCACTTGCTACATTCTCCTGTATTATCAGCTTTTTATATAATATTGTATGCATTATTTTAGTGAGCATACTTGCTGCCTATTTGTTTTTCACTGCTTCCTGTAGAAATTTAAGAAAAGTTATTCTGCAGTCTTATGTGCTAAAATAGGCATGTCAAGCAATCTTTTTATATGAGAGTTTTCATGTACTCTCTAAAAGACAGAATACATTTCTTGAAGATATTTGGTGAATAAATTCAGAATAAATGAGTAGACAAGATGGTTAAATAAAATATGTAAAAGCTTATGTAATTTATGGATTCAGGTTTTGGTATTTTACATTCATTTTCACTTTAATTAAATAAGAATTAATTATGCATTGTTCCAGCCATTAAGTTATTCCAACAAATTGTTGTGCATTAGGGACACCATGTTAGCAGCAAGGATGAATAGATTTGAATCCTTCTTTCCCAGGGCATCCTCAAGAAAACGGAAGCAAATGTAATGTGAATGCTGAAAGAAATAAGCATTCTTCAGCCTTACAATGCTGTATCTATTTAGCATCTCATTTATTACCATGCCATGAACTGTTTTTGGCCTGCTGTCCATAGACTTTCTATTTCCATTGTTTTTTAATGTGTAATATATTCAGCAATTATCCTGCCTTATTTCATTAGTACTTAAATGTTCCTTGTTTGGCCAAGAAATAACAATACAGTAAAATCTCAATTAGCTTCCTCTCAACTATTCATGACAGATACTTCTGTTTCCAGCTGTTAATTGCACTAAATATTCATTGATAGTTTCAATGAACACAATTAGAGAAAATGATGATTCATATTTTTTGAAAAAGAATCTGATGGAATGAGAGGTTGCAGTTTTTTACTTTCTACAAGTGTCTCCTGGATGAAGTAAACATATTAAAGAAGGGTGGATGTGTGACAGTGGTTTGGGTTTTAGTTTTGGTTTCTGTGTGGAAATATAGCCCACAAATACGTAAGAAAAGTACCACTGTTTTATTCAATGCCAAGTATGTTGTCATTATGTTTTACTCACTGGAAGGTGCACTACTGCATGTTCTAGGCTCACCTCATCTGTTACACTCCACAATCCTTCAGCAGTAAATAAGGCTACATAATCCAATGGTCTTTTTTCACAACTGATACATGATTAAAAAAAAAAAAAGATGATCTGTATCTAGATAGTTTTCAACACTGTCATGCAGAAAATGCCTTGCAAAGTATGCAACAGCCTATGTGAGGAATAAACCATTCTCTGTTTTTTAGTTTCTGCCAGGTTTCGAAGCCTTTAACAACATGCCATTTCATTATGCAGGTTGGTTGCTCCCATTTTCTTCAGATCTGTTTTTCCATCACTCTGAGGTCTGCACTACTTTTTTTCCTCCACTTTTCAATGATGTGCTGTTTCTGCACAGTTTTATCTTTTAATCTTTTTATTGTGATCTTTGTGTGATCTTTCACATTCACAAGCATATCTGTGTATATATCCTTCTAACTGATCCCTTTGGAGAAGATCTTCCTATCTATTTTCTGAGCTTTTTTTTTTTTTTTTTTTTTTTCCTAGTCCTCCTCAGGGAAGATTCATTGACAGCTCAAACTCAAAATGGATGTAGGACTGAATGTTATCTTTTCAACATTTCCACCATCCTACTTGCCATCCAAATTTATATATCAGTGCTTAGGCAAGCTTGTTACATCTTCCTCCACAATTTAAGGCAAGCCTGGCCCCTTCTTGCTCCACAGACAACTGTCACTTTTCAAGACTTCTTTACTTTTCAAGACTTCTTGCCATCTCCCTTAACATCCGTATTGCTTTTTCCTCCAGTCCTTCCAAGATGAAACTAGTAATACAGTGCTCTTGTCAGTATAACCACGTCTTGTCAGTAAAACCACCATTTTTAAGACCTTCATCTTTATATTCAAATTTTGGCACATAGTTCTGTTGCAGCAAATAAATCAGATCAAGTCTCCTGTTACTTAATCCCAGCCACTCTGCAACATCAAAATATAAAGGCCATATATTCTTAGTTATTCTTCATCTCCTGTGCTTGCTATTACTTCGCTGTCAGCAAACTGTCAGTCCCTTTAATTCTTTGTCTACTTATCCTCTTTCTCTGCAGTAAACAAAGGTGACAAATTCTTAGCCATATGAATAAGGAAAAACTGAAACTAAGTCACTGGCACTGGGAATGATCCACTTAATGATGCCTTTTCTGTGTCTTTCTCATGTCTCTGGGACAAAGTTTTACTATTTTTATCTTACGTGGCACATTAGTCTATTTTTAGCCCTAAGCTAATTTATTAATCGTCTTGAGAATTGCTGCATGGTTGTAAATGGATTTAAACAAAGATTAGCTGGCTGAAGTCTTGCTTTCATAAGCCATTAAGTGTGGAAAATATCCGCAGATATCAGAGACTGGAGATATCTATTTGATCATTATATTCTTTAGTAGAATTAGTCTTGACAGGATATTGTTAGTCAAGTCACATTTTCAGTGACTCAGATAATGGATCTACTACTACGTCTCTTGGGATGCTTCTTTACTGCGCAGCCTAATAGATCACATTTAGAAAGGAGTTAGTAAGGATGTAATGCATTCTTTAAAACTGACAGAGATTGTCACTATCATATTGTTCACAAGGCCTGCCCTCTGAATGCATTACTTTTGTGCTTTTAAAAGTGCCTTAGGCCATGCTTCTCCTCAAGTAACCCAGTGAACTCATCTGATTTGAATATTTCAAGAGCCTTTTGTCATATTTTTGAAAACTCTTTTTTTTTTTTTTCCAAACACAAGGTCTCCTGAGAATGAACACTTCCTGCATTGCAGGGATCCAGTGAGGGCGAGTGAAATGCAGGACATACACACAAGCTTCGAAACATATTGAAAAATCTCCTCTTTAGCTCACCAGAAATTTAGAATATATAAAATATGTTCCGATGAAATGTAGAGCAAGCTTTTTCCAAACTGGCATCAACCAAATGCTATTTTAGCAGGCTATTCATTGTTGCCAATTTGCCAGTAGGTACAATGTCTAAAACCTGTTAAAAATGAACTTTATCTGAGAGAATATTGGAAGAAAACAGTGGAAAAGTGGTTGCTGTGAATGTCTCTCCAGACTCCAAGAAAAACCTCAGGGGTGACATTTTCAGGCAGTACAACATGTGATTAGCCATGCTGCGAGCAAGTAAAGGCACTGAGTGACTCCCATTTCAGTTGTGTGCAGAGCAGGACTCCCTCTGCAGAGTCCTCTGCTTCATCACCCTCTGCCCATCACGAAACTGGGATGTCACCATGATAACATTCTGTGACATTTAGAACCTAGTAATTTATGCATTAGCAGCTTAATGGTTGCAGTAACAAACGTGTTACTTTGCTCGTGGTAAGAGCTGCAATGAGGATGTCTAGCTTCCAACAGAGCGGTTATTTTATCACACGATGAGGGAAGATTTCCATTTCATATTGGTGTAATCAATAGCGATAGCACTGTGAGTCACTTCAAATAACTCAATCAGATAATAAGTGTCGAAATCTCTTAAACTGTTAAAGCAACCACAAGTTTTGTCCATACTGATTCCCCCAATGACAGAGACAGGAGGGATATTCAAATAGAGGAATATTAAGCAGTTAATTTGGTTTCATTTTGATAGTTGGTGAAGTGTATTATTTTTTACTTTTAATTAAAAAAAAAAAAAAGCTTACAAAAATACTTCAGTACTGTTTTGAGATACTTAAGGCAGACAAAATACAACTAAAGTAAAACTGCCCTTGAACCATGAACAAATGTGCATTAACACCAGAGGAAAGCTTCCCATTGATTATACCATGTGTTGTGTTTGCCCAAAAGTAACCCAGAAAGCACTCCATCAAGGACATGAGCTTTTCCGACGTGTGTATTTTGTCCTGAAAGCATGCAGATGAGCAGTCCAATCCCCTCAGGAGGTCGCTGTCCATGAATGTTTTCAGGGCTGAGATTTTAGAGTTAGGTAGAAGTATTTATACTATGTGGAGAAGTGAACAGGGGTAAGTTTCGTATCACAATATTCTCTCATATCTGTTTTCCAGCTAGTGGAACAAGTGTATTTTCTCCTATCTTGTTCAGGCATCCCTACATATCACTATGTGGCTATGGGAAAGATTAAGTAATTAAATAAGTAAAGATTAAGTAATAAAAAGAATCTGAAAAGTTTTATTTTGATGATTTTTATAATAAAAGGCAGTGGATACCTAAAATACACATGGTGATTTTTCTTAGTTATCTTATGGCTTCTGTTGTATTTCGTTCTTTTAGGCCTTTCTCTGAGATCTGCCCGTTGCATAGCCATACATATTAGATGACTTTGGGCCCTGCTTTCCACCGACCATGAAGGGGTTATCCAGCAGCCGCAGTCATCATCATGGGGTTGCCTGTGACCCCCCGTGTGACAGCCTGCCACATCACCCGGACAGGAAGCCATATTTGTTAAACCCGATGGACCCTCACCCAGCAGATCACCCTTACTACACCCAAAGGAACTCTTTCCAGGCAGAATGCATGGTGCCCTACAGCGACCAGATTGCCAGCAGCACTTTTCCTCGGAGACATTACAATTCTCACCATGAACTTAAGGACGAGTGTGCTCTCGTTCCCCATGGAACTGCCAATAAAACCAACCGCATTCCTGCCAACCTTTTGGACCAGTTTGAGCGACAGCTGCCTCTCAATCGCGATGGCTACCACACGCTGCAGTACAAGCGGACTGCCATGGAGCACCGCAGTGACAGCCCAGGGAGGATCCGGCATTTGGTCCATTCTGTCCAAAAGCTCTTCACCAAGTCCCATTCGCTTGAGGGACCCTCCAAGGGAAGCGTCAATGGGGGCAAGGCAAGCCCGGAGGAGTCTCAGACGATGAGGTATGGAAAGCGCAGCAAGAGTAAAGAAAGGCGGTCAGAAGGTAAGCCCAGATCCAATGCCTCAGGATGGTGGAGTTCAGATGACAACTTGGACAACGATGTTTGCATTTATCATGGCCCCAGTGGGGTCATGACCATGGGAAGATGCCCTGATCGTTCTTCTTCCCAGTACTTCATGGAAGCCTATAACACGATTAGTGAACATACTGTGAAGTCATCCAGAAGCAATAATGACGTCAAATGCTCTACCTGTGCAAACCTGCCTGTAAATCTGGACTCCCAGTTAATGAAGAAAAGCTCTTGGTCCTCTACCCTAACCGTGAGCAGAGCCCGCGAAGTTTACCAGAAAGCATCAGTTAACATGGACCAGACAGTGGTGAAGGCAGAGACATGTCAGCAGGAACGGTCATGTCAGTACCTTCAGGTACAGTGTGGAGAACTGATTGCTCTTAACTGTGCTCTGCCTTGTTACAGGTTTTTGTGGGGGATGGAAGTTTGTTCTGATATTTCACTTTTCCTGAGAGGTCACTGAGCACAAAATAAGGGATAATGAAGCTATGAAGCTGGTTTTCTTTCTTTCTTTCTTTCTTTCTTTCTTTCTTTCTTTCTTTCTTTCTTTCTTTCTTTCTTTCTTTCTTTCTTTCTTTCTTTCTTTCTTTCTTT